ACCGGATCCAGATTTCTGGGCTCGAGCTCAGCTGTCTTGATTCGGACTAGATCCAATCGGATCCGGCCCTGCACTGGCATTTTTCTGGTCTTCACGATTTCGCTCATATCTTTCTGCTCCGATGTCGGATTTACGCGATTTTGGTGTTTACGCGAATCTCTTGAAGTGCTCTTTCCAATGGTACAAGTCTCGCATGATTTGGACTTCTGTAGAGAAAGTTATTGATGTCTCAACATGAGTACCTCATCCAGACTTCACCTTTAACGCTCCAAATGACTCCTTTTCGAGTCCAATCATCTTCGAAACCTGTAATCTGCAAAACTAAAGCACAACCGGGTTTTTGTGTTCTAGCACGCCTAGAATGTCTATGAATGCATGTGATTATCCCGTAAAACCTAGACAAACTCTTATCAAAATATAGAGAAAAATAGAAGTTATCAGTGATCGATAGAGAGAAAGACGCTTCATGGAGGTGGTTTATGAATAGGTTGAGCGAAGTAATACCGGATGGACCTGATGTGGTTATGATATCCGATAGACATAAAAGTATAATGAAAGCTGTGAGACAAGTATATAAACAAGCTGATCATGGTTTTTGTGCAAGGCACATATCGCAAAACTTGAAATCACATGTTAATAGGGGAGCCGGAAGAAAGGGTTCAAGAGGTGAAACCGTGGCTAAATTGTTTTTTAAATGTGCATCGGAATACAGGGAGAAGGAGTTTAAAGAATTGTACTCTAATTTCAAGAACATGTATGAATTTAGTGAGTAGTGGGACCAATTGGACCAGTGTGATTTTCTCAACGGTGTGACCACTAGGACCAATTGGACCAGTGTGATTTTCTCAACGGTGTGACTTGAGTAAACTGATGTGAATATCTCATGATTTTCAGGTATCCCAAAGCGGCGGAGTACGTGCAAAAAGAAGAACTTGCTCCGGAGAAGTGGGCGAGGTGTAAATTTCGGACTGAGAGATACAACTTATTAACCACCAATGGTGCCGAATCAATCAACTCCGTTTTGAAGAAGGCCAAAAGGTATCCGCTACTCAGTCTGCTTGATATTTGTGTCTCGAAGACGGCAGAATGGTTCAGTAGGTACAGGGTGGAAGCATGTGGTGCTGATGATTCTCAAAAGTTAACTCCGTATGTGTACAAAGTGCTGCATGAACGGTTTGAGAAGGCCTGCACGTATGAGGTTATTGAACTTAACAGGCTGAGTGGAATGTTTGAGGCAAGGGATGAAAAAGGTAGAAGAAACTAGGTAAATCTTAGTGATAGAACCTGTAGTTGCAGAAAGTTTGATGTGGACAGGTATCCATGTAGCCATGCAATTGCAGCAGCACATAAGGTGGGAAAAGGTACTGAGATTCACGAATTATGCTCTGAATACTACTGGCGAGAGACTTGGGTCAAGGCTTACCAAGAGACTGTCTATCCGGTGCCCGATATTTGTGATTGGGTTGTCCCGCCCGAAATTTTAAATTTTTCAGTGATGCCGCCTATAATAGAAGAAAAACGGCGGACCGGAAGACCTAAACAGAATCGTTTCCCTGGACCTGGCGAGGCTCGTAAAAGACCCCATAATTCAACATCGTCATTTTCACAATCGGATTCGTCGAAAAGAACAAATTTGAAATTATTCGCATAATTAGTCTGCGTTAAATGTAACTTGTATTCCGAACACAAAGTTACTTTGATCCAAAGTGTTCCTAAAACACTACTAACACTTATGGGATTCGTTTTGTGTTCATAGCTTTCGATCGAATAATGCTCAACGACTTTCAACCCCGATTCCTCCTCCGAACCATTTGTATGATCGTACATTACACTCCCAAAGCGTTGAATTCGTGAAATTCGATCAGTGGGACCAGTGGGACTAGTGGGACCAGTGGGACCGTGTTAGGTCCAAGGAAAACATACCTGAGCCCTTCGGGTAAGGGCTTCATCTCCACCTTCGGGGCGTTCTCTAAACTCCAATCAGCTTTATTCAGTTTCCCCGTATGAAGTGATGGCTCTCTGGGCTCTAAAACGTCTTTATTAGTCGTCGTGGAGGGTTCGAAGACGTTCGTAGAAGAATCA